AGCGAGAGACTTAATACGGGATGATGTGAGAAACTAAGTGAAACAGATGTAACCAAAAAATATATCGAGATATTTTTATTAAGATAATGTGAAGTGATTTTGATTTAATGGTGCATACTGGCATACATTTGGTTGTGACTCTAAGAGCGGGACTGAGATCGTCATCTCTTTGGTTTCCTGAGCATAGGAGAAGGTCACTTAAATGCATAACAGAGTGTAAATGCATAACAGAACGTAACGCTCCATCTACACATTCAAGAAAACGTATGAGCATTATTAATCACAATCAACTGACATTTCCCGTCCAAACTGGGGCATTGATAATGTGGCCTGCTACTATGAGACTGTGTTAAAAACTAGAATAAAAGCTTGGGAGATTTCAGTTGACACAGGAAAAATGGAACACTAACAGGAAAAATATCGTAAAAACTAACAAAATACGGTCAATCGAACAATTTTCTTAGGGTAAAAAACGAACGATCAAGAGTTAGTGTGTTCGACTCGCGGAGCGCATTACCGGTAGTACGCAGGCTCAAAAGGGTAAAACCAAAAAACATTTACCAAAACACCAATCAGCCTCCAAAAACACAAATCAATTAACCAAAACACAAAATAATCTCAAAGACCAAAATAATTTCTCAAAACACAAAGAAATTTCTTAAAACGCAAACCAATTTCAATTGCATGAGTTTATTTTAAGGTGAATCCTAAGTATTGCACTGCGTATCCTATACTGCGCATAAAAATCACGTAATCAGGCGAATAAGCTCGTGGGCATTCCGAGAACATGGTATTAACTTTCAATCAAGGGAGCAGGTAAAGAGGCCCGCTGCTCTTTAGCCCTGAATTCCCTGGTCCACTCATCCCAGGCCTTCTCCAAATGCTATCCTTAGCGATAGTACTAAAAAGTGAACTACTCTAGAGCTAACGAGTAGAGCTGAGAGCATGCGCAGAGTGTTAGGAAAGAGCGGGTGGGCTCTTCTAGTTTCTCCGTTCATCCCCAGTGGGTTCCCCAACGATAATTGTACATCTGCTACACCGTGTGTTCTTTGGACGGATTCCGTGCTGGCACACGTGGAACACGTTGGACAGGTATGCGTATTTCCTAACGCACAACAAATGTACAGTGGCGGAACCAGATCTTGAACTAAGAGAAGGGAGGAGGGGGAGGCTGGCGGGGCGTTTTTGTTTTTTGCTTTCCCTGCCAGCTTTTCCTCCTTCTGCAATTGTTTATTTTTTACCTAAAATAAAGACGGGGGGGCCTCCCCTACATCCGCCACTGGAGAGTGCAAAGATAAACGTGCGAAGAAATGCAAGAGCTCTTGCTGCAACTTCAATGAATTTCATTAATGACTGATTCACTTAAATATCAAAATCAAAATCAAACTATTAGGTTTGGAGTCGTCCTTTGCCTAAGCTTACAAGAGAGACGGACCAATAAGGCGGGAAATCGCAAAAAGGAGACAGTTTTCAGATTAAACAACGTGCAGTTTATTGATGTGCAAGGACAAACTACTAAGTACTACTTTACATCCTCAACATTATATAGATCTAAGCTTCTTCTGATTTTTGAAATTTATATTGCATTGATGACATGTAAGATGATTATATACCATTACATTACTAACAATACTGCAATGGATGTTGGTTCTGTGATCTCACATATCGGGGCACCGAAACTGCATGTATTAAATTCTACTCCTATCAGTCTTATTTCTTTTGAAATTTTTACAACAAAGTCAATCGTTCGGTTATGAGAATACGGTAGCTGATGACCAATCCCCTCGAGAAATTACTGATCGATCAACACCTTAAGTTTTAGTATGCACGTTAGAGTGGGCAATACTTTTCTTCCTGAATGCTTCAAGCGCAACAACCTATTTTCTTTCTCTGAAATAAAACGCTTTACACAGAAACAAATATTAAATCGAAACCTCTACCTTTTAAACCAAACTAAATCCCATTCACTTAAAGTAAAATACTTTGTGGGTGTTTCCGTCAGCAAAGAACCCACGACGCGAGAAAGGAGGGGAGGAGATGGAGAGGATCATTTACCCCCTCTCCATATCGTGGGCGTAAGATATTACATATGCACCCGAGGGTTAACATAAATTTAACCTGCACCACCTATGATAAATTGGAGTATTGCTTGTAACACAATTTCTAGCAAGTTAACCTAATGTTCTTCTGGTAAGAGTGCAGTACCTAGAAAACCTTACTCAAGGTAAAATCTACACTTCTGACTGACTGTGCTCGCCTGTTAAGTTAAGTCTTCCGTAGACATTATCAGGTCTCCCATGTGCATTACCCAATGATTGATAATGATCCCCAGGATCAAAATAAGGGTTACGAAAACCAACATCGGCGTGTGGTACTGGCTGTTGAAATGCATCAATCTCCATATATTCTGGTTCGTTGTATGTTTGCCCATATGCCGGATTGTCGTGTCCCACATTCCTCTCCGTGCCGTAATTCTGTGTTCTAGCATTGGAGGTCGCTCGTCTGCTAACACTGCAAATGCTAAAAAAAAAGAAAAAAAAAAAAATTCAAGCATTGATCTTTGGCGAGTAAAAAAAGGATAAGGATAACTGCTTAGGTAAAAATAAGTCCGCAACATTAAAATTGTATTTTTATCGTAAACTTCACTTTTGCCCACGCACGAGGAGGCACCTTAGAAGTCCCCGTGTATAGGGAGGAAAATTTCACCGTAGCAGAAATAAATCTCGATTTTTGAGAACACGGCTCGCAAAGAATTGCCGAAAAGTACTCGTAGGATTGCCGAAAGTTTGCTGGGGTTGAATAAACACACCGCGATCAAGTAAATTCTCTTCGAAATGGCGGAGATTCTGATATAAAACAAATTGAAAACGATTTCAAAGATCCTGGAGATGGATTTTGGGATAAAAACAACTCAGAAGGTATCGTAAGTAATTCTGAAGCACCGGTAAATCTCGATATTCGAGGCGAGTGTCACTTCGCTCGTGTTCAGTTGTGACCGTAAAGCACTTCCGATCGCCAGTTCTACCTTTGGCATGCCGTTTATTCAGATCGCTCATTTGTGTTGAGTAATCTTACGTGTCGTAGAGCTCATGTCACGGCTGGCTGACTTGGCAGGAATCCAAAGGTAAATGTAAATGTTTTGCAGCGTTTTCGCTGAGGACAAAGGACTTGACTCTAATTTGCATTAAAAGATTAGAGCAGTGACAGTACGCGATACTCCTGTTAATAACCTGAGTATCAGGCCTTTCCTAGCAAGAGGGTAGGGAAAGAGAGAAATTGCAGAGAAAAGCCTTTTCTTTGCCGTGTGCTTCTCCTCCTACCGGTCTCAGGGAAAAATCGTGACAGAAAGTACCAGATGATTTTCTCAACTGCTGTTCTGCTTTCGAGATAAGTTTGTTCTTATAACAAGAAAAATGGTTTGTTTCATCATCAAATTCAAACAGCAGAGTGGTTTGACATAATATTTTGTTTCTCTATAATTTTTAACCTGTTTTTCTTTAGTTGTACTGAGTCAAAATTTGTAACAGAAATATTTGTTCCCATGAAGGAAACCTTTCTTTTTTTTCAGAAAGTACTTTTTGTCTGCTTTCAAACGAAAACTCACGGCTTTCTTGAATGGAATGAGTTAAATAGAAAGTGTTGGTCTAGTTTACTAAGTTGAATGTTTGGATAATGACCATGATAAGATGCCTAAGTTATAGGAACATTATGAGTGATAAAGTTTACAATAGCCCATTCGGCTTCGCCTCATGGGTTATTGACCCGTAGCCCGCAAGGGCTACGGGTCTAATTGTTAATTATGCAATAATATTGAATAATCTCACAGAAATCATAATGTAAATTAGCCATCCGTATATAGAGCGTGGCCATCACATATGTACGCAAATTTATTGGAACAAAAGAAAGAGTTTGCATAAGAAAAGAGTTCTACTTCCACTGAATTGGTTTGGTGCACTAACATGGCCGCCGCTTCATTGTTTTGGAACACCAACATGGCTGCCGTCACGTCATGTGAAAACGCCCCACTAGAGTATTTAAACATTCATGTAAGGGCTAGGACTTTAACAGAAATTCTGTCATAGTTTAACGGGACAATCTCGATAGTCCTTACGTTTGCTAATCTATCACAAGTTTTCATGGACCACATTGAAAATGACGCCATAAAGGGTCCGTTAAAGCCATGTACTGAGTAACCATCCAGCTTCCATGTGGTTCCACGTATCTTTTGAACATTCACGCCGGGTTAGCTGTCGCCAAAAGTAGTCATTAGGGAACTACTTTTCTGTCTTTAATCCGATGGAGCTCAAACTTTCCAACATGATAGACAATTCAAATCAATTTTTTGTTTCTCGATTTTAATTTATTTTTAATAATAGGGTTTTTAAATTATAACAATGTTTATAGAGGGCCACAAGTTCATTAGTTTTTAACTATTAAGTGTCACCCTCGGGTTGTTAATTATCCTATCGTGTACTAAAGAACTTACAGACGGCGTTTCCGCAGACAGAAGATGGCGACAAAAACTACTGCAATAACTAGGCCAGATCCCAAAACTATGACTGGGTAAAAAATCTTCGCGGGCATGCCTTGTTTTTCAGTCCCGGACGAGATGGAAATGCCTAGAAAAATGCAAAACACTACTTTGTCACTAAATTCAAAAGCGGATCGAGGAAATCAAGAAACATGG